ATTAATTACACCAGCATTCTAATAGTCTCTTGTTAACGCTCAAGAACTGGACATGAAGCACTTTATGAAAACTGCATTATTTATTTTTGACCCAGTAGAAGGAGCTTTGAACATCAGATTCATTCATTAAGTCTTCCCACTTCTGCTCTTCAGTATGAAGGAAACATTTATTATTTACTATGCTGTTACCATGGTCTCCCACTTCTACTCTTCAGTATGAAGAAAACATTTATTATTTACTATGCTGTTACCATGGTCTCTCACTTCTACTCTTCAGTATGAAGAAAACATTTATTATTTACTATGCTGTTACCATGGTCTCTCACTTCTACTCTTCAGTATGAAGAAAACATTTATTATTTACTATGCTGTTACCATGGTCTCTCACTTCTACTCTTCAGTATGAAGAAAACATTTATTATTTACTATGCTGTTACCATGGTCTCCCACTTCTACTCTTCAGTATGAAGAAAACATTTATTATTACTATGCTGTTACCATGGTCTCTCTTCACTGCATTTATTATTTACTATGCTTTACCATGGTCTCCCACTTCTACTCTTCAGTATGAAGAAAACATTTATTATTTACTATGCTGTTACCATGGTCTCTCACTTCTACTCTTCAGTATGAAGAAAACATTTATTATTTACTATGCTGTTACCATGGTCTCCCACTTCTTGGGTTGTTGAATAGTTGCTTGAGGTTTGAACTCTCATGAATAGTTGCTTGAGGTTTGAACTCTCATGAATAGTTGCTTGAGGTTTGAACTCTCATGAATAGTTGCTTGAGGTTTGAACTCTCATGAATAGTTGCTTGAGGTTTGAACTCTCATGAATAGTTGCTTGAGGTTTGAACTCTCATGAATAGTTGCTTGAGGTTTGAACTCTCATGAATAGTTGCTTGAGGTTTGAACTCTCATGAATAGTTGCTTGAGGTTTGAACTCTCATGAATAGTTGCTTGAGGTTTGAACTCTCATGAATAGTTGCTTGAGGTTTGAACTCTCATGAATAGTTGCTTGAGGTTTGAACTCTCATGAATAGTTGCTTGAGGTTTGAACTCTCAGGCTTTCAGTGATGTCTGGCTGGTGTAGTAACAACTTCCTTTGATTGTGACTATATTATTTGTAACCATGATCAACATCTTCTACTTCTTCTTCTGCTCCTTATCTTCCTCATCTCCTTCTCTTTTTCTATCTCCATCTTCTTCTTTTCTTGCCAATACATGATACCAGAATAAAGCCAGCCTGGTAACAAAGACAGCCCAAATGTCAGTGGGACAAAAACATGTCATAGCTTGTCAGACACAGGCCGCTGCAAGAAGTATTATACAATTGCTCAGCCTTTCATTATAACAAGCTTTTGTTACTTCTTTTGTTTTGTTTTTCATTTTCCATACCAGTGGTTTTTGAAGACTGTGGTTTGACAAATGTCCTCTACTGGTGCACACAGCTTGGTGTCTATCAGAAATTAAAGCTTGTGATTGATTTAAATGACGGTCACATGTTAGATATTATTCGGAAATCAACCTATACACTTGGACCCTTACTTTCCACTGTGGGTTCCAGCGCCCATTGTGGAGAAAATTAGAATAGGCCCACCTTCCCAACTAGCTTTTCACAGGGGTCGATTAACTAGGGGCATCTTTTGAAGTCAGACTGCGTCTGCCATAGAGGCAAGGAGCCAACAGTCTGCATTCAGATAAGCCAGATCTGTAAAACTGATGTGCATGCAACACTCAGGTTGTGGAACAGGACTAAAGTCTGGAGGTCAACAAACAACCAAAACTTGTTGCCAGAGTTTACTCCTGTTGAACATGAAGAAGAAGAAGAATAAGAAGGACCCTTACTAACAGTAATAAACGTAAAACATAACAGAGATGATGAGCCTTAGAAGACCTGCTGGTGTAACAGGAAGTGATCAAATTAAAAATACAGAAATGAGAAAATGAGAAATGAGAAACAGAAAAGAGCAACCGATGAAATGGTTTGACAAGATTAAAAATACCGAAATGAGAAGACTAAAGAAAGAGCAGCAGATGAAATGGTTTGAAGGAGATTGCCCTGGTACCAGCTGAAACAGAGAGCCATGCTTAAGAAGTATAATGAACAATGACCAAGAGGAAGACCATGGAGAAATGGAATGATGGCATCAAGAACAGCCTTAAGGAGATGAAGATCAAATTATGGAATGCATTCCAGAGAGCACACAGATGCTCCTCACTCACAATGAGGGATCATATTTCCCTTCCCAACACCACAATAATTTAAAATGGAGGAAGAGGAGAAGAAGAATAAGAAAGAGCATCACTAGTGTCTTTAGAAAAAACCAAAATAGTTTACCTGACCCATTTCCAAGTTTTGAAGGATATTGCGTCTGTTGTGCTAAACCTTTATGTTCATACACTGCAAGGAATGCCATACATTTCCATACATCGAAAAGATGAACATACCACTAGTGCCATTACAAATGACCTTGGATCTCAGGTCATCTCAGCCTTAAGTGGGTACCAGGTACAGTCCTGGGAAGAAAAGGCGGTCAGTGGGATGTTGCCCTTCTCAACCACCAAATGCTGATTGGACAGTAAAATATAAGTCTAGCTCTATATGCCAAATAAGACGCACTGTTTTAGACCAGGACAAAGGTTCCTTTACATTTTTTGGGTGTCACTTTTATAAAAATTGCACCACAAAAATAACTCCAGCTCTGCTTACACATTCTCTTTGGCAGCGCAGGACGTACATGAAAATGTGTTTTCAAAACAATGGTAATCATATGGATAGTAATATAAATAAAAATGGTTTTCTTTTCTTAAAAAAAAAAAAAAAAAAAACATTTTTCTGTGTGTGGAGACTTATGGCAGCGATTCCCTAACTGTGCGCCGTGGCGCCCCGGGAAGCCACAATCTCTTCATAGGGGCGCTGCAAAATATTTGAAAATACACGAGTTTTATTTGATTTTATCTCTTACATATGAGTAGTCAGTCTTTACTTAGGTTAGGGCGCCGTAAAAAAATTGTAAGTGAAAAAAAAAAAAGGGTGCCATGACTAAGAAAAGTTTCTGAAACACAGAACTATGGGAAAGCCTGAAGTCTGCACTTGTTGTATGATGTAGGCAGTATCATAGCTGTGAATACTTCCTGTAACATTTCCTGGTATCAATTTGGTCTAGATGAACCTGAAAACCAGGTCAGTTAAATAATACAATCTGCCACAGTTAGGTTTGAACTCATAATTATTGGGCTGGAAGGCAAGCATGATAGCTACTGCACTGCCTCTGCTTCCATCACTGATGGCTTGCATGATTATAAATTCTCATTAACTTAAAACTTTCTTGACTTATCCTCACTTGATGTGATCATCCCTATATGTTTCTTGTCCATTTGCTAACTAGCTTTTGAGAAATGCTGATAGCCATATGTGGCTTGCCTGTTGATTATTTGATTCATTAATTCCTCTGCCTGTTATTTACCAACTTTATATGTGCTTACAGTTTTTGTGTGATTTGCATGCATGTGTTGTATGATCTGTAAGCATATGTTATGAGTCCATTACAATCACACGTAAGGTATCTGTTGATATTATAAGCTGTTGAAGTCAGTACAGTGCAACCTTAATCTCCACCTGCAGCCCACTTAGATAGGGAAACATTTTTTGCTATCGACCTGCCAGTGAACCATCCCATCTATGCACATACTGAAAAACACTGGAGAAATGTCAGATCCCCATGGGAGGCAGTGATGACACTAAAGTGCTCAGAGCTCAAAGAACCAAGATAGTCTTTTGTTTGTACAGGCCTGCTATAGACGATCCAGGGATTGAACTACATATTCATGAGGGATGTACAGCAAAATGGTATATCCAACTCTGTTATGCATCCTCCAGATCCAGTACCACCATATACATGACAATCCAGGATCGCGGCACTTTTCCAAATGTCCCCACCCAATTGGCAACTTTCCAGCCCTCTCTGCAAGAGTCTATACTTTTCTACTGCAATCCTGCAATTATTTTTATTTTGAAAACACGCCATCTTTGTATCCATTTGAACACTTCCTGTGAGCCATATAAATGGAAGCAAAGATAGTGTTTTGAATAGATAAGTGCAAATAAATAGTGAAAATATTATCCCTCATTGTGAGTGAGAGGTAGAGAGGCAAATTATTATTATTATTTTTTTTTCAACTTAGATAATACAAATTCTTGTATTCATAATGTATACAGGTACAACACACTCAGCTATCATATGTTAAGCTGTAACTTTTCACATACAATATTTGAACAATTTAATATTATACGTTTAATTAGATATTTGTACTAATTTGGAAGCTGCAGAGATGTGGTTTTATAGATGAATTATGACAATATCCTGGACAGATAAAAAGAGTAAAGAAGACGTCTTTAAACAAAACTGACTCATCAAGAGAACTGATTGCCCACATCTGAAAGAGACAATCTACATTCTTTGGTCATGTGATGAGAAGGAGAAAAAGAGTACATTGTGACAGTAGGAAAGTTGGAGAGGAGGGGAGGCAGAGGGAGGCCGAGAGAACAGATACTGGACAGTTTGACACCGTAGCATGGACAATCATTTGTGTCAGAGTTGTTTGAAAGTACACGAGACAGCAGGTTGTGGATAGACATGACTACCAACACAACATGTCATGGACTCTGAGAAGAAGAAGATATTTGTGTCACAGACACCTGCCGCTGTTCAATTACTCTTGTGATTAATTAATCACGTGTGAATATTCGGTTTGGAGCTGGATTTTTTCAAAAATGACCTTGACTCCCAGGTTGACCCAGCCTTGAGTGTGTACCGGGAAGTAAAGGTGGCAGGCATGATGCTGACCGCACCATCCATCTTGTGCTGATTGGTCTATAAAAATATAGGTCTAGCCCTATATGCCTTGTACTACTTTTTTAAATCTTCAGTTTTGCTTGAAGTTGATTGAACATGGTCACATTCTGATATTAACATTTTCTGTCTTCTCCTCGCAGCCTATCACTGGGACACTTCCGACTGGGCTCCTGGTCCATCTATGCCAAACATCTCCGAACTTCCAATCAGTGACACTCCTCATTCACCATCATCATCTCAGCCCAGCGATGACTGTAATGCCAACGCGGATAGCTTCCATGACGATGACAACGTCACTACCAGAGCTATTTATAACGGAGATGATGGTAGTCCTGTGATGAGATCTGACAGACAGAGGCATAATAATATTGACAGCAGACGTGTTCCTGATAGATATGATGATGATGATGATGAAAATGTCATTTCTCATCTTATCGTCAGTGACCAGGATCAAGATTATTTTGAGGACTCTGAATATGTTGGAGATTCAGAATATGCTGAAAGTGAGCCGTATGTACGTGATTATTTCCCACCAGATTATGTGGATGATCCAAAGTATGAGCATGTTGTTCATGACCTTGATGATCACTACAAGCTGCCAGGTAATCTCAGCATTCACCCAAATCAGTACTTGCCAGAATACAACTTTTCAAATCAGGATTTGGATAGTGATGTTCTAACGGAGGATGAGAACATGGCCGGCAGAGCACAGCCAATGATCTTCTCTCCCAGCCATTTCTCAGCAGAACAGGACTATCCTCCTTTACGACCTCCCAAAGAGTTCATGACCCCGAGTCGCCAGGTAGATAGCTTCGGCACAGACCTGGGTCCGCCATCTCGCTGCTCGTTTATTGATGACATGAGCATGTCACTTGGGGGCATGGCATCGAACACGTCATACTCGGACATATCAGGCCTGTGTGAGATTGTAGACAGTGAGATGAGTGCAAATGACACAGACGATGAGAACACTCCTTGCTTGACCCAGCTTCAGACTCAGGTTTAGACAATTCACGGTAAAACTAATGTTAGTCTCCCTACAGACCACTCATATACAAACTAGCTCACTTCTGATTGGTAGACTTTGAGCCACGTGGCCTTGGAACAAGGTTACAGGGTGTTCCACAATGTCGTTGATATCGCATCTTGTATATTTCAGCACGCCAGTGCTTTTAACACTCTAAAAACATGGACAAACTGGGTCTAAAAGAACACCCCCAGGAGGGTGCTGCAACCTATATCACAGGCATTCTCTTTCTCGGAATAAAAACGTAAATGCAAGACAACCCAGAAAGCAAACAACAGAGCAGCACATCCATAACCTGCAAAAAAGTAGACCAGCCCAACAAACTTGTGAATGGAACATCACCTACTTTGTTTGGGGAGACTAACTTAAACCTAACCCAGTTCACAAATCCTAGATTGGAATGTGTCTCTGACATAGTCACTGTAGTTCTTTTGTGTTTATGTAAATACAATGCTACAGTTTAACTTGCATTACAGGCTGTCTGTCAGTTTATTTACAGTGTCTCATATGTTTCCATACATAGGAGAGATACCAGTGTTTTGTAAACTTTCCTCCACTGCTGAAGAACACTTAAAAGCACAACTGGAGTTATGCTTGTAGTGACATTTGTGATATGTTAATTTTTTTCTATGAATGGAAACTTATGGAACATCCTCTATAATGCTAATGTGAATACAAAGTTGTGAATAATAAATGGCGGGGGGGGGGGGGGGGGGGGGGAGAGAATGAGCTCCTGCTACCAAGAATCTCTTTTTTAAAAGAACAACTTGTGACAGAACTAGATTTTTGACAGGACTAGTTAAAGTACCAATTTGGATAGACTGAGTAAATGACTCTGGTATGCTTTAGATGTTCCAATTTCTTTTAATACCCAACAGGGAGCTGATAAGTGGAACAGCCTTTTCCTACTTTTATCAGGCAAAATTGTAGTGTCAAGGTAGCATTTAAGAGGTCAAATTTCATCCTGTTTCTTAGGTTAGATTGGATAAATTCATCTGAATGACAAAGATCTAGAAAAACATCTACCATCTAAATGTCAAAAATGCCATCTAATGCAAGGGAAAACATCTAAATCTGGATGTGAAACATCCAAAGTGGCAACACTGGTGGAGACCCACATTTGAATCCTTGGCAAGGCTCAGGTTTTTCTGTGGGTGTCAAAAATAAAATCTCAACCTGCGGTGTCGTTGGTCATGTAGCCATAAATTCTCAGGTTGAATGAACCTCCCACCTACACACCATTATAATGGTAAATACAAGCAGTATTTGTCTTTTCAAAATTTTGTTATGGCAGTGAAGAAATGATATGCATGCCAAGACACTTTCTATATACAGGTTTGATAATTATTATGTTTTAGAAGTAGGTTGAGTCCCATTTCATGATTCTCAGGAATTTATGTTTACAGTGTCATATTCCAATCCAGCTTTAGAGACACAACTTGAAATTAGGAACTCAAATATAGAATTGTTTCAAAAGATATGAACTGTAATCAAATGTGTTTCATAATTCCTGTCTTTTATTATCGAAACTAAGATAGAGAAATTACATTTGAGCACATCATAATGACATATCACATAATCTCTGGGTGAAAGAATCATGAGAGTGACAATTTCCGCCTAATCTGTGATTGGTTACGATTTCATCCACTGGTATCAACTTTACCATGAAACATTCCAGGGATCTGTAGAAAATAATTGTACTGTATATCATCTTGGTTACATGGGTATCACAATCATATATGATTGATAAAAGTGTAGCTTTATGTCACTCTGTATGTTAAACTGTGTCTGACTACGTTAACATTGTCTGGCTGTATGTCAACATACAGTTAAAAACATTTGTGTGTGTGAACACATGGTTTAACCGCTGTATGTTTGAACACATGGCTATAACACAGGTATATGTGTCTGTTGCTAACATGTGGTTAAATACATGAGTGTATATGATTACATGGTTATAAATATGGTTGTAGCACGGCTAACTATGTATGAACACAGCTATGAAATTGTATGACTACACAGCTGTGTATCTGTTTGCATCTTGTGATACATCAATACAATGACACGATCTAAGGCTTCCGAATTCAATAATGTATAAAATAAAACATAAACCATGTTCATTAAATAAAAGATCTTTCATTCACATAAAGCTTTTCAATCTCTCAGAGATCAAAGATTTCTCATTTCATATCTGACCTTTTTCTTCTTGTTCATTATTCCCCGACTGTGTATGATTTCATCTTGTTTCTGTATCATAATTTGCTTTCAGATACCTTTTTATTTCAGGTTGTGAGTACGTTTGAAAGACTTATTTTGTTTTTTAAAGTTTTTAAAGCCAGTGTCTTTATATTGCTGAGTATAGTTTTTAATATAAATATGATTCTGCAGGGTGCACTGATGTCAGATTTCTATTTCTTGGTGTTTTGTTGATGTTATGAGAATCAAATATTAATTTGTTCTTTATATCCCGTGTATTTATTTTTTTCTCAAAATAGGATTGTGTAAAAAAATGCATTTAGAAGTTTAATGTATCATGTTACGAAATGATTAACTGGCGTACTGGCAAAATATTAAAATGTTTATTAGGAAGAAAAAAATGAGTAAATATAAAATATATGCGCATAATTCAAGGCTCAGTACAAGGGAAGAGATGATAAGGCAGGTCAGGAATATCTGAATAGAAAATCTGGCAGAGTGGATGGGGTCTTATATACAAAAACATTAAATTTGGCATCAATAAAATGGAAAGTCAACTGTAATTTGATGATCCAACACCACAGAATGTTCCAGAACTCTAATATCAGGAAAAGATGTCAAACTAAATGAAAACTAGAACCAGTCAGCTTCAAAATATCACACAAACAGCAAACAAAAGTTGTGTCCCAAGAGCCTTTATCAGCTCATTACATGAATCTACAAAACCACAAATATGAACAAAAATCACTTCAGATGTTTCTCAATCAAAATCACATTTCTGTGTGGGCAGTAGAATATCTGACACATGTGTGGCTGTTAGAAATATACACTAGTTAAAAAGGTTTTGTACAGTCATTTAAAAATAGAAATGTGCAAATACTTTTTAAAATATTTTTTAAAAAGTACATGAAAAGTCAGGGAGTCGTTGTGGCCGAGCGGCTAGAGGCTCGCCGTGGATCGGAAGGTCGTGGGTTCGCTCCTGGGCGAAACCAAATTTGTTTTAAAATGACCTTGACTCCCAGGTCTACCCAGCCTTGAGTGGGTACCGGGTGCAGTCCCGGCGTGATGCTGACCACATCACCCATCTTGTGCCAATTGGTCTATAAAAATATAGGTCTAGCCCTATATGCCCTATACGCCTAATGGCGTGGGAAAGCGCCCTTTACTTTGTTTTTCTATGAAAAGTAAAGATCCCTTTTCACGCCTTATGTATATGGGAAGAGCACACATATTTTTACAGACCAATCGGCACCAGGTGGATAATGTGGTCAGCATTACACCGGCTAAAGTACATGAAAACAAGCATTTTATGTGAAATATTGTGAACAATTTTACAAGCATTTCTGATAAACTGAAATGAAAACTTTTTAAGAAACATTTCTTAAATCTTTCTCTTCAGCATTCTTAGCCCTTGAGGTTCATTGCTGCAGATATCACCCACCTCCATTCATCACTCTGGTTGGTTTTCTCTTTTCAGTTATTGACACCAAGTGTTTGTAGGCCTGTGTGGACGTTATCTCTCTATAGTCTTCATGATCTGTGACCATTCAACTTCTGTTTGGACATTTCATTCAATTATTATTTTGTTGTTGAATTTCTTAGTTTCCTCTTATTCTTGAGTGACGGCCCTGGCATATCCCGGGATATTTATTTTCCTGGCCCCCATGAACCTCTCCAGACTATTGTCTTGACATCAACCTGGCTGCCACGAGATACAAAGTGATATTGTGTATTTGTGTAGTATTATCTGATTTATGTATATGCTGAAGAAGGCTCTATAGCCACAACGTTCACATTTTGTTAGTGTTCGTTATATTGTGAAGCTCTCTGATATACTTTTCGCTCGGTTTTATATCTTTCCCTGAAACTCTGAGTAAGAAGGGTTTTGCTGACAGTAGTCTGGCACTTCTTCATCTGTTCCTTCTCCCTGCCAGTGGTTTTCAGATAAGAAGGCCGCAGGCCCCCAACGAAGTCTGTAGGCGACACAAGTCCTCCACTGATCCATACAGCCTTGGTTCCCAAGAGAATGCAGACTGGCCAGACTTAGGTTCTTCCTGTCGTAGAGAGCATGTCTGCAGCATGCGTTCAACATTGTGTGGTGCCCGTCCACATTGGCATAGTTCTGAGTCCACGATCTTAAATTCCTTGTTCACATGGCTGTGAAGTATGTTGTGTTCCTGTGAAGTATGTTGTGTTCCTATGAAGTATGGTGTGTTCCTGTGAACTTTGTTGTGTTCCTGTGAAGTATGTTGTGTTCCTGTGAAGTATGTTGTGCTCCTGTGAAGTATGCTGTGTTCCTGTGAATTATGGTGTGTTCCTATGAACTATGTTGTGTTCCTGTGAACTATGTTGTGTTCCTGTGAAGTATGCTGTGTTCCTGTGAAGTATGCTGTGTTCCTGTGAAGTATGCTGTGTTCCTGTGAAGTATGTTGTGTTCCTGTGAACTATGTTGTGCTCCTGTGAAGTATGTTGTATTCCTGTGAACTGTGTTGTGTTCCTGTGAACTATGTTGTGTCCCTGTGAACTATGTTGTGTCCCTGTGAAGTATGTTGTGTTCCTGTGAAGTATGTTGTGTTCCTGTAAAGTATGTTGTGTTCCTGTGAACTATGTTGTGCTCCTGTGAAGTATGTTGTATTCCTGTGAAGTATGTTGTGTTTCTGTGAAGTATGTTGTGTTCCTGTGAAGTATGTTGTGTTCCTGTGAAGTATGTTGTGTTCAGTTCATAATCTAATTATAATGGTCTGTTTCTTTCATATGAAGAGGCTGATTGAGTCTTCGGGATT